CGTACCAGAAGAGTTGGGGGGGGAGATCTGAAATCCAAGCCCAATTAAAGAATTGTATACACAGACAGAATATAGACAGTGTATGGTGGTGTTCAAGAAGCACCATCTTTATCTGAAATGTTTGTGCTTTAAAATTTGTCTGATTGTTGTCCATTTCATGAGAATAAATGTGTGTTCTGTCTGCTGGTCAGAAGATCTAATTCCCCCTCCCCTGCCAGGTAAATGGCAATGAAACTGTGTCTTGCAATCAACATTTAGGATTTCTGAGGAAAGGCAGGAAAAACAAAGGACTTGTCATGCTTTACTAGCCTCATTTTATGGGATTTTTGTCACAACTTTGGGACATCTGTTTTTCTCTGATTGACAGCAGGGTTAATACATATTATCATTAAAAATAGGTTCTGAGGAAATGCGTGCTCTCACCTTGCTTCTGCTGCAACCGTGAAGGCTTTTGTTTTCACTGCCATCACTGTGAAGATAATCTCTACAAAGAGGCTCCGATATTGACCTGTCGTATCACATGTTGCTTATCAAGCACTAAAGAAATTGAATTTCATTTTATCTGTTATCTGGAGCGTCTTATTAAATCATCCTGCAGTTGAGAGGTCGTTTGGGGTCAACAGGTTCAGTCTCTTTTGCCATCTATTCCTGGATTATTAACCTTTGGAGAATTACTAAAGCTGTTCTTTATTTTACCCCATAAAGTTGGGTTAAATCTTCTTGATCCATAAGTTGTTGCAAGTGAGTGCCACGTGCATGTAATTCTTTTACTTAATGTAGTTTCTGGTTAAGGAATGAGGACTTAGTAATCTGTATAAGTGTAGAGGTCTCTCTTATTATTCTGTTGTTTTCTGTTCTTTTGATACTCTCCCAATGCCTCTGGTTTTAATTGGTTCAGTGAGAATAAAAACAGTCAGATCAGATGATGGATCTGAGTCAGCTTGGTAGTATTCCTTTGCCAAGAGATAAAGGGAGGGTGATGAGGAGGAAGATAACAGGGTTGGGTATTGCCAGGCATTGAGCGCAAAGGGAGGAGAGAGAAGTTGGACGCAAGCAGAGGTGGGAATGGGGTGGAGGTCATGGCAGCAGCCCGTGGGCACGAAGCGTCTGGCAGAAGGGAGCCTGCCCTCAGCAGAGAGACTTGGGGGGATATAAAGGTCAACCCTGCCGCCACCACCACCATCCATGTGCCTTTGTGCCATATTTCTGTTGGAAGAAATGACTCTGCCAGTCAGGATGTTCACGTTTAAGAGCTTGATACAGTCACGGGATATTGAATTTCCTGCAACAGCAGAAGCCCTAAGTACTTTCTGCTGTCACCACAAGGAACTGCCTCCAGTGTTAAATATATTTTCTGCTGGAGAAAAAGGCTTGAAAAAATAAATTCTGAATACTCCTTCCCCAAAATTTTGATTTTTAAATACAAGATTTAATGCAAAAAATACGCTGTTTCACTCAAATTCCAAACTCTCAATCAAGAAATTTTCAAATCGAATAAGCCAAACTACTGTTTTTCAAATAACTTGTCCTTATGCTCAGATATTCACTTAGTGTCTGGGCACTGTTATGCTTTTTCAAACTTGTTCTAAGAAAATCTGCAAAAAATTCCTTTAAAAAAGAACTGGAGTTGAGGAGCGGAGTTAGCATTTTCATGGAAGCACTGGCAAATAAAGTGTAAATGAGCCCTCTGAATTGCTGCTGCTAGCTGATGCTGTCTGGTGGCCAGAGCACCGGTGACCTGGGAGCTGGGTACCGTTCAGTTTTCTTACGGCCCTGGCAGTAAATCACCTTGTAGCTCTGAACAAGCTATTAACCGTTTTGTGTCTCTTTCTAATCGCAGAAAAGGCTTAACACCACTTACCTGTCTCACAGGGGTAATTGGTAGATTAATGTTTGGAAAATACCAAGTGCTTTCTGCTATTATTATTGAAACTCCAGCTGATAGGTTAAGAAATGAACAGAGATTTTGGGAGTGTCTTATTTCTTCCCTGTTTGGCATAGCGTGCCGATTTGACATGAGTAGTTCAACCAAGAAGTGAGAAGTCGTGGGCTTGAATGTCCGTGTATTTTGCATAAAAGTTCTGGATGTGACTGGAAGAGGAAAGGTGAGAAAACAACAACTGGGAAGACAAGATGTAAATTGACTTACTGGGATTAGTAGTACTGAAAAAGTATCCAGAGATCAGAAAAGAATGCATAAATTGAAATTAAATCCCAGTAGGATTAAGAAAATGTTCCAGTAAAATGCGAACCCTGAAGTGTGATGGGGAAAGGGAAAAACAGCAGATGACCACTTCTTTTCGCCCCCATCGAGAACAAAGTTATTCTTAATGAGATGCTGAGATTTTTTGGAAGCCTACTCAAAAATTCAATAGTGTTTTATCTGAGAAAAATACTTATTCGAAGATGGTTTTCTACTGAGGTGTTACAGATGGAGGCTTTGTGGTGTGGTAGTTTAAAACAATTGGTCTTTACCTCGAGAGATCCCCGAGACGAATGTTGCCCAGAAACGAGAGTAAAATTGTGTTTTTAAAGCATCATTTTAGGAGCAGTGGGACAGTTGGCAGAGTTTACCAAAGCTGTTGAGAGACTCTGCAGACTTTAATTACCATCTCAATATTGCAGAAGTTGTTTAATTCCTGCCAAAGAAGGGAATAGTTGTGAGAAAGCGAGATCACACTCTGTCTTTCATTCTTTCCTTTTTGACAGGTGAATAAAGGATGCTTTTCAGTATCTCCTCTGATACTGTGACACATTTGTAAAATTTGCATAGAATTGTAAAATAATTTTTCTTTAAGATTAACAAAGCTTTTCTTTTTTCTCTTCTCTTTCAAAAGTGCCATACAGCATAGTGTGAATGCAGTTTAAGTCTTGTCATGAAAGAAGCCAGATGAAAATGGAATGCATTTTCTGTTACTGATTGGTCGGCTTCAGACATTAATAGTTTCAACCTTCATGGCCAGACAACATGTATTACGTTGTGTTTATTTTAGAGGTTCCAATAAATTTTAAATCCAGGTTTGAATTCCGTCTCTGGTGTGGGTGGTTGAAGGCATAACCTGGATTAGTAGAATAAAGAGGAAATTATTAAAATGAGAAGAATCAATCCATTTTAGAAGGAAAAATAAGCCTATAATACAAAAATTCCTTGGTGAAAGATATGTTTACTCTTTTAGGCCTCAAAGTCTAAATCAGAGTATGTATAACTAGGTTTTTTACTGTCATTCGTATGAGAAAAAGGGCTGATAATTTTTTTTTTTTCCTAGCGGTTTTCTTCCTCTCTGACACCTGAGTGTGTTCAGGTTTTTTCTAAGTGCTTGCAGTAGCCAAGGAAATACTGATTCTTTGAAGACTCTTACCAGCTCCTTCAGTAGATCTACTGTGTTGATACTTTTTTTTATGACTGCCTCACACCTGTCTGTACTTGCTAAAGCACCAGCCATTGTTTACTCTATAAAACCCCTTTTTTTCCTCCTTCTCTTCAAGTCTCTTATCTCTCAAGGACCTTTTCAATGCTATCTTTCAGCTTCAGATCTTGGTTGTCACAGTATACAATAAGTTCAGAAAACTACTGCCCAGGAAGTCAAAAATACTCATTTATCATATCATATATATGATAAATCGGTACTTAACGGCAAAGGGAACATGCTTGTTCAAAATCCAGAAAGGGAAGGATAGATCATGGAAACAAATAGGCACAATTTTTAATCCTTAACACTCATCATGTTACTAGGAATACCTTTATGTTATATTTAGAACTTGGTTGTTTTGGTGTTTGAAACTATATGTTTGCAGTTTGTCTGGCAAACTGCATGCTGAATAGATTACACTGATTCACATTTCCTTATTTCCATATACCATCTGTGCTTTTGGCTGGTTGTTAGCCTGGTTGGGACTCTGATTTCATAAATGCAAGTTACAAAGAACAGTTATGCCCAGAAAGAGAAATCCTATATTTCACTTCCTTGAATAATCTCGAGTGTTTTGACCTTACACCAGCAAGGACATGAGGCTGAAGCTGTACCTACAGCAGGCTTTATTTTCTCTGGTGAAGAAGGATGTATTAGCAGGGTAGGAAGATCCCCTTGGTACATTTCCAGTGGAACTCTAGTATATATAGTCATGGTCATGATTTTCATTGTGTAATCATTTTAATTAAGTTCAGCGATAAAAGTTAGTCTTGCATGAGGAATGAATGCACTAGAGAGACAATGAAAGATTGATGACGGCTTGGGGAGCATCACATACTCGCTGGTGGAAATGCATGCGTAGAGAGCAGCTGAGCTTGGGTTGCAGGTCAGAGATTACCAGCTCAGAGCAATGTCCAGGCAAAGTTTTGGGGATCTGAAAGAAGCGGGATACAATGGGAATATCCAAAAGCATTTTTGGTAATATTTCTGAGGGCTTTTGCTTGAATGAATAGCTTCATTACTAAAATAATAAACATTAATTAATATCTGCATCATTTTGTAACTGCTAGCTTAGTAAGGTAATTAGTATAATTAGTATACAGCATTGCTCGGTGGCATGATAAATCATAGTGTAGTGAATGTCGACTCTTTACCACTATGATGTATTATCTAATTTACACAGGTAAAAAAAAAAAGGTAGGGGGCAAATCAAGAAGGGAAGCCAGCGGTGACAGCTGGGTGGCCTTTTGGTCACTCTTCTTGCATCTGCTGCCTGTATTCTCAATTGCTTTGAATCGCTGCACTGTTAATTAACAATTCTTTTTCTCGCTGTTGCTAAGTCTTAATCACTGATTGAAACCTGCAAAGAGAGGCCAACGAGAGAAGAACGAAGGAAAAAAACAGAGACTGGCAGATTTTTTCCCTTCAGGGTACTTGTACAAAGGATGATACTTCTTCCAGTGATAAGTCTGTGTGTGTTGGGTATCTCCTTTGCTTTCACATTCCTGGAGGCATCATCTACTAGTTACAGTTCAGTGCAAGGATGAAGAACGTTAACGATGTTTTTCTTCATTATATTCTGTTTTCTAGAACCTATGAGAACACCAAAAACGTTGAAGATTGCCGAGATCCAGGCCAGACACATCGCTGTGGACTGGGAATCTCTGGGCTACAACATCACTCGTTGCCACACATTCAATGTCACTATATGCTACCACTACTTCTGTGGACACAACGAGAGCAAGGCGGACTGCTTGGACATGGACCCCAAAGCACCCCAGCACGTTGTGGATCACCTGCCTCCCTACACAAATGTCAGCCTCAAAATGATCTTAACCAACCCAGAAGGGAGGAAGGAGAGCGAGGAGACCATTATCCAGACAGATGAAGACGGTATGCGTAAATGCTGTTACGGAAATTACATCCAAGTCCAGTCTAGACAAGTGGAAGGAAATTACTTTGTGTGTTACAATATGTGTCCTGAAGGATAGAAGTGCTCTTCTAGTAGTGTATTAATTAGCCCTAAAACAGTAGCTTTAAAAGTATTATAGCTGTCACTGCATATATAGCCCAAACTGTCCATGTAGCACAAGTCAAACTCAAATCTCTCTTGCAAGAAAAAGGAGGGTGGCTTCCCAGTCATTCCAAAAATGTGCTAACACAGGTGACAAGAAACACATGGTGGTGTTAGGTGAAGGCTTCTTCACAGTATTAGGTGTAGTGGTTGAAAATTAATTTAATTCTGTAAATTTATATTTAAATATTGAGTTCAGTGCTTAAAGACACTATTCAAGATTTAAAACCTCTTCAGCAAATATATTTGAGCAATAATTTATCTTGCAGGTTACAGTGTATAGTATCTGTTAACTGATTGAAAGCCACCCATCAGATTAAAGTATTATTTTGACAACTTGGGAGTTGAACTCGATGATCCTTATGGGTCCCTTCCAACTCGAGATATTCTATGATTCCTCTTTAAAAAGCTCTTGATGAAGTTTCATTGACAAGACAGTTGAACTTACCTTCGCTGGGAAGAAATAAAGAATGGATGTAGATGTTAATGGTGACATTCAGTGGTTAGGCTATGAATCTTGTTATGAAAAAGATTAAAATAAAAATAGATATTTTTCCCTAATATTTAAAGTGTGGTAGTAAAGAGCAATTTTAGTTTCCTTTTCTTATATTTAGATTTCATTAAAATACTGACAACAACAAAATGAAAACAGATACTGCCATCAGTAACAAGAATACTTGGACTAATGTAGGAGTGTGGATACATAAGAAGATAAAATTGAAAAAGGTAGTGTGTTTGCCTGTAAAATGGAGGAGAAAGTATAGCTTTATATATGGATAGCAATCAAGGTTAGAATCTGGTAGCATTTTTTTGCCATATATTTTCAATTTTACAAGAAATGGAAGAGGAATGTGTTTACTGTTGCAATAAAGAGGAGAGAACAGCTTATTAAATAGGTAGAATATGAGGAGCTGTAGAGAAATATAGAGACATAGATGCATCACATGAAGATTTATTGACAAGTACAGAATTAGAATATTTCATGCAATTCAAATTTTAGCATTACTTTTTTAAAAAGTTAATTATAAATATAATCCATGATTAATTATTTCTGTATCTGTGTTTACATTATAGATATTTGTGGTTGCTATTTTCCTTGAGGTTAAAAAAAAAAAAAAGTAGTAATATTGTTATGTCCATGGAAAATGGATTTCTTTTTCTTTTTACCTGAGTTTTCAAGAAAGGTGATGGTTTCTGATAGCCTTTATCTAGTTAGATGTGCAGAGATGGTAGCTGGTCACTATAGCGGTGCTTGTCAAGAGCAGAGTCAAGTGCATATATTTTGTCTTCTGGTTTTGTTGTGGATTATTCTTGGAAAATGATGCACACAAGGCAGGTTTTGGTCTCAAGCTAGCACGCCAGTGTGGTATCAGTGAACTTGTTTAGGCTCAGCTTTGGTGTCAGAGGTACCGTAGTGTAGAAGAAGCCTCACCCAGTGAACAAAAGTTGCTAAGGTAAACTATTTCAAGCAGATGTTGTTTTCCAGGAGGGATTAATACATTTTGAAAGGTACCTATATTTAGACACACTGGTGGTAATAATGCTTGTGATCTGAAAATTGCCTCCTGTGAGGTCCACTCAGTGATACTATTGGAAATGAAACGCAGATTTTTAATTGTGCGTTACTGATTGACTTGAAAGTCTGTGTCCATTTTGTCATGTATTTCAAAATACAGAGCATGCAAGCAATGTGCAATACGGAGGCTTTCAGCTGTCTAAGAGGATCAAAGGTGTATTCACACCTGCGTCTCTCCTCGAGCTCTCATAGCAATAGTAAACTGAGTTCTGTAGTTGACTGCCTATGTGTATGCTGCTAGTTTAGTCCCACGGCCAAGTGATCGAGTATCTGTCTGAAACTGTTTTAAAACACAGTTTGCAGCCTAAGGCAGGACTCAGACTAGGAAGATGAGAGCTACAGGAAGATACCTGAGTCTGTGCCCCACATATTTCGTATGTGGTCAGAAGTAGCCTCATTGTCATGATGATTTTTGCAGGTTTTGTAGAATGAGCATGATGTTAATTACCTAGTGAGGACATTAACAGATATCAGACATTATCAAATAACATTAATTAGAAATAGCCACTGATTACATGATTATCTGAACCTGTGCACTTACATTGTGTACTTTTCATAAATAGAAACTTTGAAAACTCCAGATGACAACAACAGATAATTAACTTTTTGTTAGCTTTTCTGTAGTGCAGTATTCTTTCCAATGCCATTCTTTCTTACAAAGATCTGCTAATCAAGTAAAAACTTTGTAGACTGTTGGAGTTAAAGGTGTCTACCCCACATTTTCTTGTCTCTCTTCGTCTTTACCATTTTGCCCTCATCTTCTGTTGCTTCGTCCATCTTCCCCACGCTTCCAGCTCTCTGTCCCTTTCTTCTCTTTTTTTGTTGTTGTTGTTTTGTTTTCATCTTTCCCTTCATCTCTCTTCTTCTATCGTTTCACCTCCTCCCTTCTGCTAGGAGCTTTACACATATTTGAACTTCTGGCATTCCCTAAATGCAGAGGATCTCGGACCTTTGCGGGGCTCTGGCCTGAGACAGTGAGGATCTCTGGTTGTCTTTCACAAAGGTTCACATTTATATAAGGCTGCGTAGCTGGGCCAGACCTCCCAGAGTGTGAGCGATAACTGAGCAGTGTATGGTACCAGGAGCAGAATTAACTCAGGAAACAGTTAGTAGAAGAACAGGGTAGGATTCAGAAGCTGTGCTTCAGACCTTCGGAGCCTTGACTGACAAATGAGGAAGGTTTCAATAGCTTGTAATTCAGTATCTGCAAGAAAGCAAAGCCAGGAAGTCTGAAAATAGCCTCCTTTCTGACCAGAGCTAGATCTGAATACTCGGTGGTTTTAAGTATTTCTATTTAACTTGGATAGATGGAATTAATCTTTAAAGTATATTATAGTAATTTGCAAAGAGCTGTATTCCACGTAAAAATTAAACCCTTGAGCAATACACTGTTAAACAAGTTGTGCAAAAAGAAGAGGAAAACAAGGAAACGTGTCAGTGTTTTATGGGTGAAACACCGTCTTTCACTTAGGGGAGAGATCACACTATCACTACGATTTGGGAGAAAGCTCTTCTGAGTACCCAGGCACTCGGCGTTATCTGTGCCATGACAGGGTCTCACTGCTTCACCTGGCTTGTATAGGAGATGGACAGTGTTTGAAGGGTTTGGTAAAGGAAAAAGCGGAAGGCTCGCACAATCTGGGGATGCATACATTCTGGGCAGAGATGATGGTTGGCATTTCAAAGAAGGTACAAGAATCAGCAGTGAATTTATCACTTAGCATGAATCAGCAGCGTGCACGCGTTCTCGGAGCTGCCTGTTCACAAGGGCACTGCGAACTCAGAGGGACCCTTTTAAGAGCAGTGGATGGTGAATGGGATTAAAGCAGATAAATGCTTCCTTAATTTTTAATTGGAAGCAGATGCAAAGGGCAGTGGATTAACAGGAATAGTGACATTAGCTCTGAGAGCAGCTATGGAGAAAGCAAATCGTGACGCTCAGAGTGTTCGATGGTGATTTTATAACCAGTAAGGGAGTGTGTCAGCTAACAGCAGGCAAACAACTAATTGAAAAAGATCACTTGGAATAGGCTAAGTACCCATTTGGGGGCTTAAAGTATACCAAAGCTTTGGTCTGAGCCAAAGGACATGCTCATTGGACACAAACAAGGCCCCCTGATCTTTCAGAGAGTATGGCTCATTCAGCTCTGTGAAGAGATAGCTAAAGCTGCGATGCAGGGTTAAGACACCAACTGTCCAACCATTACTCATGCTCCTGGGAAAACTCCAGCAGGCTCACTGCTCTGGGAAACAGAAGAGAAAGGCAGGATTCTTACAATTAGAGGACAAAAAAAATTTTTTAAAAAGTCAAATATTTAGTGTACTGTCTAAATGTGTGGAGAGGAAATACCTTCCACCATCTTTGAGGGAGGATTTTATGGAAATAGTTGACATTTAGTATTTTTCTGTGTTTGATAGTAGGGCTGTAAGTTGCCTTTAGAAAAAAAAATAGAACGATTTTTTTTTTTCTCCATTCACTATTTGATATGAGAAGCAGTTTTCCTTTGTGCTTTTTCAAGTTGTTCTGGCACCTCAGGAAAATATTGGGGGGGGAGAGGAGGTAGAAAATATGCTTCGATCAAAGAAAACAAACAAACAATGCTTCAAGGAGCTTTGGAAATACATAGATATAAAACTCTACTAGTAGCATTGTAAAAGTAACAAAAATAGCCCACCTGGGAGAAAAGTCAATGCAGCAAGATGAGCAGGCAGTATGTCTGATGCTGCAAAGGAGGGCTGCAAAGATTGCTTGAAATGGCAAACTGTCTCAAAAAATGTGTAACTTGTCTAGCCGAGTGACACGTGCGTGAATGTCAAGTGAACCCGGTATACTAATCCTATTGGGAAAAAAATGGCAAATGATTGCAGTTAATAAAGAGAAACCCATGACTGGGAGATAAAAGTTTAAATGTGAAGTTGTCCATAAATGCCGCTGCTAAAGGTATTGACCTCAGTCCTTGACCAAAAAGGGAGACTAGTGACCTACGTGTCATGAGCAGCGGCAAAATTTAGTGTCAATACAGTCAAATAAGGGAGGAAGTTTTGTGTGTTTAGCAACAGTGAACTGAAACTGATTATAACCGACCTATTGCCATTGATAGAAGGAGCCAGCGATAACCTATTTGTTCCTCAACTCATGAAAATAACCCCAATTCCTTTTGTCAGATGGTAGGCATGGTGGTGTTGGGTTGACGGTTGGACTCGATGATCTTAGAGGTCTCTTCCAACCTTAATGATTCTATA